ACTGCCTCGGAAACCCAAGGAGGGGTCGCTATGAGTTGGGTCCGACTCGATGGCACATAACAACAACATGGAGCTCTCTTAATTTGTGAAAAATTATCTAAACATTGTTTCATTATCTTCCTTACAGGGAGGCCGAATTGAGATTGAAGCAATAGCTGTCCAAGGACCACTCTCATCAGCATGACTATAAACGGGGTCAATGTTGTTTAGTCTGGAATTTTCATAATATTTGTTAATTAACATCTTAATTTTTACAATGGATATTCAAAGTGTAAGTCTGACTAAAATATCTAAAGATTATTATGGAAAGTCCCTCTAATAGAGGAATTGAATATGAATTGAAGATTAGATGATGACTCCAGTTGCTGATGTTATAAATTACACTTACGCACACTCACATCACTGAATATGGAAGAAACTTCACTAATTATGTAGTTACCCAAATAAATAAAAGTGAAGGGAAACAACATGTAGAAAAGATGAGTTACTCCACCTGAGAAATAAAAGAGCACACCTAATCCATGTAATCCTACTAATTAATGATGTGAAATACGTTTACTTCTCATGTCAGATAATGTGATACTGCTTTTACTTGAGTAAAAGTATTCAAGTTGAATGGTAGAGGCAAAGAAGAAGAAAATGGACCAAAATTTTATGTAGATAATATTTTTCTAATGGAAATAAAGTAGACATGCAAATTTTTCTTGGTGTCATTCATTCATTTTTTTAACAGCTGGTGTGACATTTTATCTCATGGGTAATATAAGTAGAGCAACTTAATGATAGATAAAGAAGGATCAAAATTGACTCAATGGCAACGTGTTGGGTTTGATATTGGTAAGAGAAGGATCTGCAGTAAAAGACTTCATAAAGTGTCCAAAAGCAAAGATGTCACTTTGAGGACTAAGGTACATCTGACCCAAACCATGGTATTTTCAGTTGCCTCGATGCATGTAAAAGCTGGACAATGGAAAAGAAAGATCAAAGAATTGATGCATTTGAAGTATGATGTTGGTGAAGAATACTGAATATAGCATAGACTGCAGAACAAACAACCTGTCTTGGAAGAAGTACAGCCAGAATGCTCCATAAAAGCAAGGATGGGGAGACTTCACCTCACATACTTTGGGCATGTTATCAGGAGAGACCACTCCCTGGAGAAGGAAACGATGCCTGATGAAGTAGAGGGTCAACAAAAAAGAGAAAGACCCTCAACGAGACGGATTGAAACAGTGGCTGCAACAATGGGCTCAAACACAGAAACAACCGTGAGGATGGCACAGGCCCAAGAGATGTTTCATTGTGTTGTGTATATAAACTCAGACCAAACTCGCTCCCGTCGAGTCGGAGCCAACTCATAGTTAACCTCTCCTTGGGTTTCCGAGGCAGTATTACTACAGAATTAGATTGCCCAACCTTCCTTCCAAGGAGTGGCTATTGGGTTTGAACCGCCAGCCTTCTGGTTAGCAGTCAAATGCCCCAGGCACTACACCATCAGAGCTCCATTGTGTATATAGGGTCACTATGAATCAGAAGTGACTCAACAACCCCAAACAACAATAAGAGAAGCAACAGCACTCAAAGTGTTCAAAGGTTTACTTCTTGTCAGCACTCCTAGTTAAATACACCATGAATCTCAACAAATTCTTCCTGACATAGACTCCTGATAAATTTGAATAATAGGAATTTTAAGAGCTCTAGAGTTTGAGAGACATTGACTAGCTAGCACATACCTTTTTTTCTGGCCTTACTTTTCTCCACTTTTTAAAAACACAAAAATAATTCCTTAATCCCCACATTGCCCTTCAATTATCCATTTTTCTCTGAACTCAAATTCCATCCTCTGGTTGGCTGCATCCCATTGCTTTCACTTTTTGACAGTCAAAAGCAGATGACTTCCTCCTCTAGTCAGAGAAGTATTTGTAGGCATTTTTTTTTTTATTGAAATTGACCAACTCATTGATAAAACACCTCTTTTCACTTTTAATAAGATTCTTTTGGTTGCAAATGACAGACACCCAATTCAAACTAGTATTAAAACAAAAACAGGCATTAATAGGTTCGCATACAGGAAGGTCCAGAGTATAGATTGTTTTAGGCATGCTGGGTCCAGATATCTAAGACTCTCCACCTGTCTCTTGAGGGGAGACAGCTGCCTGCAGGCCCAGATGTACAAACTACTAGTGCACTAACCTCAGCAGAAATACAACTTCTCATTAACTCTAGCAGAAGTCTTAGGGAAACTTCTGATTGGTCCAGCTCAAGCTCAGGTCTGTACCTAAACCAATCACAGTAGCCAGGAAATTGTATACTCTTGCTAGGCTGGGTCTAACAGGTATGTTGTTGTTGTTGTTATGTGCCGTCGAGTCAGCCCTGACTCATAGCGACCCCTCCTTGGGTTTCCGAGGCAGTATCACTACGGAAGTAGGATTGCCCAACCTTCCTTCCGGGGAGTGGCTGGTGGGTTTGAACCGCAAGCCTTCTGGTTAGCAATCAAGTGCCTTAGCCACTATGCTACCAGAGCTCCCCTAACAGGCATAGCCACAGATAAATCATGACTTCAGAATCAAACCCTAGAATGGAAGAGCTGGAAATGATGCTGGTACCTAAGTTAATTAACTTGGTATTATGTTGTTGTTGTTATGTGCCATAAAGTCAGACCTGACTCATAGCGACCCCTCCTTGGGTTTCTGAGGCAGTATCACTACAGAAGTAGATTGCCCAATCTTCCTTCCGAGGAGTGGTTGGTGGGTTTGAACCACCAGCCTTCTGGTTAGCAGCCAAGTCCCTTAGGCACTACACTATCTGAGCTCCTAATTAACTTGGTAGTGGTTGGGTTGGGATTTTGAGTCTTTGTACACTGAAGATGAATCACTAGATCTTGTTAAATGTGAAAAGGAATACTTATTACATGTTGGCCTTTCAAACATATTTACAGAAACAGCAATGTCTTTGAAGTGTGTTATTAAATAGTGATCTAAAAAGGGTCTCCCTATTTCTTTGAAGTTGTCATATTCCTTACTCTTGGCAGAGTGTATAATTTAAAGTCTGCTTTTATCTGAAGGACAAATGAGTCAAAAATTATTTTACACATTTCTGAAAGGACAATTCCATTAAGAAGAACACATGAAGAAAGGTTTTCAGACACTTTATTTTGATAGTATATTTATTCAATAAAAGTTATACATGTTGAACCAGCAGTACAAAATAATTATATAAAAATATTTGGACATAGTTTTCCTTACAGCCAATTATATTTAGGTCTGAGGAGGAAACTACCATGATTACATAAGTAAAAAGAGCATTCATCATCAACAGATATTTACAGAATCCCAAATATGTATGAGGCCCTGTAAGCAGAAACAGTGTTATTTTTACCCAAAAAAACATTTTCTAATGGCTCTAATATCAAAGATAACTAATCCACAGTTGTTGTTGTTCGAGATCTACTAAATAACTACTAATTGAAATTAACTGTTAGTATGTCCCCCTCCTCCCACTGAATTACCTATGAGTGTGATGATGGTTGGAAAAGCCAGCTTTAGGTGCAGTGACTTCCTAGTGAGGTGGTGGGGCTGAACTCTTTCTCCCAACCCAAAGCTACAAAGTACATCTGCTATGGAAGTCCTCTTCTCTTGGAACTGATTCTTTTTTTTTTTTTAAGTTTGGAGCCAGGGCTACATAAATCAACATAATATACCCTGTTTTCATAATAAGTTTATAAGATAGGATGAATGAGGTTTTGCTACAGTTACTTTTCTTTTATTAAGCAGAAATTTCAGAATTATATTTTACTAGAAAAAAAAAAAAAAGCAGATTTCAAAACAAAATTAGTATCCTTAATTGGTTCCTCATGACCATTTTTCAGTGAGCTGGTGAGGCCGAAGATCTCGGTCCACCACTGTGAATGGAAGTAGCATGTTTATCAATGTCAGCAGCACATTATTAAATGGAAAGGGTTATTTGGATAAATATAATATAGATTGGCTCTTCTTCCACCTTCACAAGCTATTAAAGCCTGGAGACTTCTTTCATTAGGCACAGAAGTAATGATATGGTTGTTAGCTTTCAACAAATTACTGAACTACTACTTCCCAATAAATTTGCTAAGTGGTGTTAGTGAAGTAAAGCTAAAGGCCTCTTTAGATGAGTTAGTAACATTCCTAACATTTTGCTGAGAGTTACAAAAGCCGAAAAGAAAATCTCTACTGTCAGTTGCTCTGTAGGATTTTACTGATTGTTTCTGCAACTACAACCTTGAGACTATAACCAAACACTCCTTAACTTTGTACACTCTTGGGAGGTAGGAGCTGACACCGTCTTAGATTAAGTGACATCTTGTAAGCAAATGCTTTCAACTTTTAAGACACAGCCATGCCTTGCTATTTGGTGTGGGGGAGAAGAAGAAAGGAATAGGGCCATTCTCCCTCTACTTTACAAGTGTGTGTGGCCTACAGGAATGGCTTTATGATTGTTTACTTTGCTGGCCTTTGTGAAACAGAATTCAGAATTGGGTCACCAAACAATCCCTACCAAAAAAAAAAAAAAAAGGGATGTTTGCAATCTCTAACAAGCAATTGTATTTTCCCAAAAAGCACATACGTAACCTCACTAGAGTTATTTGACCATGACCATACAACATTCATTGATTAGTTAAATGTGGGAAAAATATATTTCTTTCAAAGCAATTCTAAATTCAAGGCCAAATTTGGAATAAAGCTATTATTTTCACAAGTTATTATTGACACAAGTGGGTGTTTTGTGCTCAAAGGCTGTTGGCTATACCTGGGGCTCTAACTCCAAAGTCTAAATGAAAAAAGCAGTAAGTTCACACACTGACTCCACACTCCTATCCCCGAGATGGTTGGATACAGAGTACTTCTGGCCATGGGTTTTGTAATCTGCCCTAGGTATTTGCCTTAGTTGCAACTCGCGCCCTCTGCTGGTAAATGCATATATTCTTTCCCTACTGGCAACAGCTGTTGAGAAATTAGTTGTCCACCACTACCCTCCCAATTAGGTATAGAAAATAGTGATATTATCTTAATTAATAGAACTCAAACTGGGTTACAAAATGGCTGCACAGCTCCCCAGGCATAGAAAATCCAGCACTGATGGAAGTTTTTCTTCAATTTCATAATGAAAAGTCCATGCTTCTTAGGGCCTGGAGACAGAATCAAAATG